TGGGGCCGTCTAGGGCCGGGGTTAGTGGACCTCATTTACTTCCGGCCCAGACCATAGTAAGAGGGGACGGTGAACCCTTCATCGCGGTCCTCAATGTGGGCTCGCAGACGGTGGTGGTCCCACAGGGGACCGTGCTTGCTCACGCAACGCCGGTGCCATGTGAGGAACCCGTCACAAATCACGTCAGCGTTGTCCCTGCGCCGCGACCGCATTCGGACAGCGATGAAGGGTGGCTCGAGGCGCTTTGTGCGGGATCGACGGACCTGTCAGATTCAGAGCGTCAACAACTTAAAACACTACTGCGGGAATTTTCCGACGTTTTTAGTCGGAATAAATACGATTTGGGTTGTACTCACCTGCTGCGTCACCATATTGACACGGGTGACAGCGCGCCAATTCGCCAAAATCCGTTTCGGTTGAGTCCCGCCGAAAAGGACCATGTCAAATCGGCTGTTGATGACATGTTGGCCGCCGACATCATTTCTCCTTCCACCAGCCCTTGGGGAGCGCCGATCGTCCTGGTTAAAAAGCAGGACGGTTCGTTGCGGTTTTGCGTTGATTTCCGGCGTCTTAACAAAATTTCGGTTGCCGACGCATACCCGCTCCCTCGGATGGATGAATCGCTGGACGCCTTGGCGGGAGCGCGATTCTTTTCCACACTGGATTTACTTTCGGGATTCTGGCAGCTTCCTCTGGACGATGATTCAAAGCCTAAAACTGCTTTCCGTACACCGCACGGCCTGTTCCAATTCAACCGGTTGCCGATGGGCTTACACTCAGCGCCGGCAACTTTCCAGCGTTTGATGGAATTGGTTTTGGCTGGATTGCAATGGGAGTCGTGCCTCATTTATTTGGATGACGTTATCGTCTTTAGTAAAACTTTTGACGAACATCTCCAGAGGTTGCGGGCGGTTTTCCTAAAGATGCGGGCTGCTAATTTGAAATTCAAGCCCCAAAAATGCCATTTGTTGCGCGATTCGGTGCGTTATTTGGGGCACATCGTGGGACGCTCAGGTATTGCTACCGATCCCGCCAAAACGCAGTGTGTCAGCTCCTGGCCGACTCCCACCTCGGTGGGAGAGGTCAGGAGTTTCATTGGGTTCGCGTCGTATTACCGACGGTTCGTCGCTGATTTTGCGACAATTGCAAAACCCCTGCACGCTTTAACATCTAAAGGGGTTCGGTTCCACTGGGGTCAAGAGGAGGAGGCTGCTTTCTGCTCCCTTCGGGACGCCCTGGTAAAAGCCCCTCCCTGGATTTACCCAGATTTTTCTAAGCCCTTTTTGCTCGACACCGATGCGAGCAACACGGGTATTGGGGGTGTGCTTTCCCAGGTGGTTGATGGCGTGGAACGGGTGGTCGCGTACGGTAGTCGGGTGTTGTCTCCTGCGGAGCAAAGATATTGTGTCACCCGTAGGGAACTGTTGGCAATTGTCTATTTCATCCAACAGTATCGCCCATATCTGTACGGTCGGCATTTCACCGTCCGCACAGATCATGCGGCACTACAGTATGCCCTGCGAGTTCAACAACCATCGGGACAGTTGTCTCGATGGTTGGAGGTTCTCCAGGACTTTGATTTTGAAACCACCTACCGTAAGGGCGTTCGCCATACGAATACGGACGCTCTGTCGCGCATGCCAACCACCTCCGAATGTGCATGCCTCCTGGGGTCGGGACGTTGCAGGCCTTCAGGGGACGCATCGGTTCCGATCTTGGCAGCCACCGACGACGACGAACCATTGGTTACTAATTCGATCGAACAACAGGGAAGAGATTCCCTGTTGGGGTTGCCCGTCACTGAATGGGGGCGCCTCCAAATGGAGGATACCTCCCTCCTCGGGTGGCGTCGTCGCGTCGGGGGTGCTGGGCGGGTGACGGGGGATTCGGATGCATGGGAAATGGTGCAAGGTCTGCTGATGCATTGGGACGGCAAATCCCAGCGACATCGGCTGGTGGTCCCTTCTGAGTTGCGAGGCAAGGTGGTGTGGGCCGCGCATGAGCGCCTATTACACCTGGGGACCCAAAAGACTCTTGCACTGCTACAACTTGATTTTTTTTGGCCTGGTATGACGAGGGATGTTGGGGATCTATTGGGATCATGCCCTCAGTGTGCGCAACGGAAACCGCCGGCGCGGGAGTCTAACCCGCCCTTGCAATCGATCAAAGTATCCAGAATAAATGAGCTTGTCGCGCTGGACATTTTGGGCCCATTTCCCGCCACCCCGAGGGGCAATAGGTATTTGTTGACAGGTGTCGAGTATTTTACGCGCTGGCCTATGGCCTGGCCCCTTGCCAACCAGTCGGCAGCAGCCATCGTGGAGGCCTTTGTTCAGGGATACGTCCTGGACAAAGGTGCTCCGGAGCGGCTGCTGACCGACCAGGGCAGAAATTTTTCCGGTAAATTACTCAAACAAGTCTGTGACCTCTTAGGCACGAAGAAAATTCGTACCTCCCCGTATCACCCGCAAACTGACGGAATGGTCGAGCGCCTGCATCGCACCATTACGTCAATGATGTCACAGCAGGTCTCGGACTCGCAGACTGACTGGGACCTGCATATTCAAGGGGTCTTGGCGGCATACCGGATGGCACCCCATGCAGCTACGGGATTTTCCCCCTTTTACCTCATGTACGGTCGCGAACCCGACCCGCCTGTTCGCGCCCAGCTGCAGATCCCCGACCCGCAAGGGAAAACTAAATTGGCTGACCACGTCAAATTTAATCTGGCCAAATTAACAGAGGCGCGGGATGCTGCTATGCTAAACTCGGACCTCCGTCAAAAGGCGAATGAGCGCCTCAGGCTGGGTCGGGCGCACGTAATACAGTGGAAGCCGGGGGACAAGGCATGGTTGCACTGTCCCCAAGTGCCCCTGGCTACCTCCCCTAAGCTGGCGCGGCCGTGGCGGGGCCCTGTGGAGGTGGTCGAAGTTTTGCGACCACAGTGCGTGCGCATTAAATGGGGGAAGCGGCGATGGTTCGTGCACCCCTCTAGGTTAAAACCCTTCATTGCGGTACACAAACCCACTTCACACATGCGTGGCCAAACGTGTGGGGGGTCGACCGACTCACTGGGTCCGTCTCCGTCGTTCTCACCTAATGCCTTGCCGGCCGTGCCACCTCCAGGTGCATCAGGACTGACGGGCTCACGCCCGACCACCCCTCCTGGGGATACCGACGGTCGCGCGGCATCGGATGAGGTCTCACTCCGGGACGGACAATTGCCACCTGACGGTCCGCCACCCGGGGTTACCCCGTGTGAGGGGCCCGCTGCAAGGACACGCGCAAAAATGCGCAGACTGTTATGAGGCCGGAAGATGTGTACATAGGTTGTGTTCATCGTGTGTTGTGTGGGTGGTGTGTTCCCTGCCCATTGAAATGTACATACGTTGTGTTCATTGTGTGTTGTGTGGGTGGTGTGTTCCCTGCCCATTGAAATGTACATACGTTGGGTTCACCTGTGTTGTGTGTATGGTGGGTTCCCTGCAAATTGTATATAGGTTGTTTTTTTTTACAGAATTCGTATTTATTCAAGGGGGGGTGCGTCGGGTTGTTTTCTCTTCTTGCTGTTGCCTTTTGTTGTGTTCTTGTTGCTGTTCTTGTTATTGTTGAAAAATAGTGAGGCACACGCGCGGTCAAGGTGTAAATGCACTTTTATTGTCATTTTTGTATGTTGGCAGCCGGGACGGCTGCAAGCTATGCGGGGGGGGGGGGGGGGTGATGTAGGGGTGTTAAAGAGAGGGCCCGTTATGCATGGCAGCCTATGGAAAACAAACACAGTGGGCGGGGCTACGTAAGTGCACGAGGAGGTGCCCTCTACGACGTCCGAGCCAGACACCCTGGGGGGGGGCTGGTTCGAACGTTATGATCCCCCGGGGCCCCACCCCTCAGGGAGGGGTTGGGTATAAAAGGGGATGTTTCAAAGGGCTCGGCAGTTATGTTTAAGCTAAGGGAAGAAGACTGAAGACGTCTTAGATAGAGCCCTGGACTCCCCTAGTTCGATGTCCTTTTCAGGGCCGGACAGGACTGAGCCAGCGGCGTGGTCCCGAAAGCCAGAGCCGGTGCTCTTGTAAGAGCTGGTCTGGAACTCCGGGTACCGGGCCCGACTTACCAGTGTCGGGCCAGTTAGCCTCCCCTAGCCCATTAGTGGAGGATTCGGGGCTAGGACAGAGTTAGCTAGGGGTGTATCCCGAGTTATACGGGTGAGGGGGCCGATACCCCCTCGAGTGTGTATATGCCCACTGTCGTATTGTGAAATAAATATACGTGTGCCTCAACCTCGGCGTCAAGCGTCTTCACCGGTACTTCACCTCGACAAAGATTGTGATGTTAGGCGTGACCTCCAAAATTATACAACACATAGTGACAAGAGATGAGGATGATTTTGGTAGTGATGTCAATAACGATGATCACGAGGTGAACGGTACTGGTGATGATGGTGGTGGTGGTGGTGGTGGCGGCGCTTCATGAAGATTATTTTAATGACATAGATCAGTATCAACATTATTGCGATGATGACCATCCTTGTAATGACACATGTACGAAGATTATTTCAGAGATAGTGATGATGAGACTATGAAGATATAGTGATTTTGATGGTCAAGACAGAGTTGATGAATTTGATGTATGTATGTAGAACTTCCTTCACATCGTTAATCTGACGTGCGGGGGAAGGACGTTAGAGATGCTAGCGCCCACATAGACAACGTCAGTGGCCATCGCATTCATGCAGAAGAGATAAAAGCACAGGCGTCGTTGGTTTGTGCGGGCAACTGGGATGGAGAGCAATAGATGACCAGCAATGGCCCTATGCATCGACAACCAGGGAGGGGGAGGAGCTCGCACAGCCTCATGGGCCTACACGAAGCCATTGCCGTGGCAAGAGGCCAGAAAGAGTGGAGACATTTCGCTCCGCCTGACAAAATAAGATCATATTCGTCAACGGTGTTCATGTTGACGACATGACATTGTCCAATCAGAACTTATCTCTCTCTCTGCAGCATGGCCGTTCTCCTCGCGCGAGGCCATCACTCCTCCGGACCTAGCGGGGGCTCGGAGGCACCCCCAGTGGTGCCTCTTCATCTGCACGGACACTCTCACCTGCACGGCCACTCGCACCTGCAGAGCCACTCCAACCCGAGCATCCGCGCCGCCTTCATCCACGCCCTCGGAGACCTCCTGCAAAGCATAGGCGTCCTCGTCGCTGCCTGCATTATCTTCTTTAAGGTAAGTGCGGCAGAAGGTGGCGATGGATGCTCCCAGCCTCCGTTTCCAACGCCGGAGGAATGACGGGGCCGAGTCAACACCCAGTCCGAATTTGAGCACGCGACCGTGAGCCTCACCTTCTGCTGCTGAGCCACCGGGCCGATAGCAGGGGGCATCCTACACGGGTCTATCTTGCCACCTGTGTTCGCTGTTCACAGCACGGGTTGGGAAACGTTTCCTGTGTGCTTTCAAATGTTGCTCGTGAGCCACCAAAACAAAGATCCCTCGTATAGCCTTAACAAACTTTTGGGGCAAGAGCTGTTAGCGAGCAGCACCAATGAAGGTCGGCCGGCACACGAGGGGGTAGGTGGCCAACACCACACCCATCTGCCTCTGTCTCCCGAGTCGTGATGTTTACACACCGCACCAGGACCGCTTCCGATAATCGTTAGTGGTTTGGCCGTGAGCGGCAATCGAACTCAGGTCGCCGGTTTCGTAGGGCAGGGCGCTAACCACTGCGCCACCGTTCCCATGGTGGGTCATCACACGCTCATATTCAAACACCACGGTCACTTCTGTCACTGTAGAAATAGGTTAGCCGCATATGCGCAAAAGCGCACAAACCGAACCGGCATAAAGCGAGGGAAACCTGTATATCGGATGTCATTGATCCAATCCTTGTTGCTGGTTCATGCCGAATTGAAACCTAATTGATATGATGGGATATGTGTGCATTCATTGGGTGACTGAGCCAAAACCATGAACTCACGACGCTTCTGAACTTCGTTTAATCACCGGTGCGCGGTGTCGAGCCCAGGCTCTCAGCGGTGCTGGCTCAGTTTTCTAAAAGATCCATTATGAACCCCGTTGACCAGCAGACAACTTCATAACTAATCCCCTGCAATTAAATTACTTTTGTAATGAATATTTTCTGGACTTTTTAAATGAGGTTTCTTTCATTTAAAACAATTATCTTTTGAAAGTGAAAACGCTCGAGAGAGAACCATTACGAGTTTAATGCCAATAATCGCGCGGTGCTTTTAGATGGCCATCGCGGTGTCGTTCCCACGCTCCATTTGCCCCGCTCGTTACTCGGAGGCGCTCTCCGATTCAACGTATTTTTCTAATCACGCCACAGATTAACATCGGTCTGTGGTTAAAGAACACGTAACAAGCTCTTGATGAAAAAGAGGGGAAGGTGTTTTTGATGTACATAAGTGACGACGACAATGACGATGATAATAGAGGGTTTTGTGTTCGATTACGCGATCTAACCCAAAAACCTCTATTATGGAAATATTGGTCGTGAAAACCTACGTGCTAAACTGATGGTGAATTTAGTAATTATGATGATGATACTTTTGCTAATGTGAATAAACTGCTATTATTATGATGATGAAGTCCTTTATAATAATCATGTAGATATGAATAGGGTGTGATGATGATGGTGTGAATTTGGTATGATGATTATGTGAAAACGGTGTGATGATGATTTGTATTGAGTGTGGTGAAGATGTTATTTATGTGTGATGAAGATTATGCGAATCGGGTGTGATGATGATGATGTGAATAGGGTGTTATGATGATGTGAATAGGGTGTGATGATGTGAATAGGGTGATGGTGGTGAAATTAGTGTTTGTGGCTGGCAACGATGCTCACGATGTAAATTTGCCGTGACGATGATGAATTTCACCACTGATGCTGACGCGACTCCCCTCGGGTCCTTTGTGCCCACTGTGCCCCCCCCACCGCCCCCCCCCCCAGCCAGAGTACAAGCTCGTTGACCCCATCTGCACGTTCATCTTCTCCCTCTTCGTCCTCGTGACCACCGTCACAATCTTGCGCGACGTGCTTCAGGTGCTGATGGAGGGTGAGTGTGGAACATGCTTCACCGCGCCGGTCGGGACACGTTGGCGAAGGCGGGAAGCGTTGGTGTAGGAGCGTAGAAGCACAGCACAATACCGCAAGGGGCTGGGCTAGGGTGAATATGTTTTACGTGTGCGAACATTTTCTTGTAATTCTGAGCGCGTACCAAACGTTAAACAGATTTGCGCATTTTGTGAGCATCGCCTTTTGTGCCCATTACTACGCGAGGCCCAATGTATCTCCCAGCTCACACAAGTGTGGTGCAGTGGCTGAGCCAGTGGTGGAAATTCCACATTCCTATGGTGGCAACAAGATGAAGGGTCGAGTCAGCTCTCGAATGGGATTAGAACTAGCCACCTAGTTGGGATATATTTGGTGGCAAATTCAAGTATATGATTTGACCGACGTGGCATGGCCAAGCGGTAATGTATCTGCAGCTTGTTGCAGGGGTTTGAGCCTATTGGCCGCACTGGTTAATACTGCCATCTGCCTCACAGCGGACATGTGTGTTGGTATCATCATGGTTCAAATGAGATTTTTTTTTATAAATCACCGGCCAATCACCTATTTATCTTTTTGAGAAAAACCTGCACAGCAAACATCACCCGTGTGTGACACGCATAGTCTTCGTGATAGCCTTGCACTGAAATGATCGCATGAATGCCAGGTGTACCCGTGATTACTATAACTACTCATTTGCAGTCTTCTTTTTCTTCCTTCGTATGGCAGCAGTGGCAGTGGCGTGGAGGGGGGATGATCAAAAACGGCTCTGGGCTAATGCCGAAGACGGCAAGCCATGTCATGGCTGCAGCAGCGGTGCTGCCCGTGAACGAATTATGTGGTCGGCGCTTTGGCTTCGCTGTCCACGATCGCGATTTACAGAGAGAGAGCGAGCGGACGGGCGGGCACACGGGCGTGCGTGTTTCCCGTAGCGATGGACATCTCAGGGCAGGGACAGAATAAGAAGTTTCACGAGAACCCTTTCCATTTGCAAATTCTCCTCCTCCTCGTCGTCGCCGTGATCGTCGTCGTAATTCACGAGCCGCTCCGCACGGAGCGCGCCAGCGTGTCTTTATGGCAGCGCCGTTTCATTTCACACTCCAGTCGGCCCGATGTGCGGAGCGGCGGCAGGGGGAAGGGGAACAGAGCAGTGGCTGAGGGTCGAGGAACAGGAGATGAGAAAAAGAGCTGGGAGAGAAATAATACAAATTGAATCTCGTGGGGAAACAGATGGCATTAATAGGAATCCTATGTTTATTCAGGAAACCCACACCAAATCTCAAGGTTCCCCTTAATGAGTGTCCTACCTGGGATGTGCGACAAATTCACTTTGAGCATATTGTGTTTGAGGAAAGCAATTAGTAATCAGGGACATCACGCTGCCTGCACCGCACGCACAATTGCTCCATCACAACTTGATCCGCAAACACCGTCTTGCAGAGTGCAGGATTGCAGGTTTGGAGAGAGGAGAATGATGGAGCAATCGAGTTTCGGGAAGGCAATAAAATAATTTATCTTTCCGTGCAGCAGAGGCAGCAGCAGCTGCCCCGGTGATATATAAACGGCTGCTGTGTGCTCACTTTTCGTTTAAAGCTGCCGCAGTAGCAGGGCGCTGACTTAAACAACGTCCTGGGTGTGACAAGAGTCACTGCGAGACCCGGCGCCCGTTTGTCACACTGGGGCGGGTAACGTCTGGGGGCCATCGACACTCACCCGTGTCCTGCCGAGCCCTAACATTTTCCGCTGACGGACATATCCAAAATCCACAATGACTTGCTCTGCAAATCAAGCGTCTCCCCCGTAGGGTTCTTCATGAGCGAGGTGCCACGGGTGGCTCAGAGGGCGTAGAACCGCGTCGGAGCACAAAACCTGCCAACGAAATCCGGGTTTCAGCCAAGTGTGATTAAACTGGGTCCTCGAGTGTGGCGAGTCGGTGGTCTTAGCCCGGTCACCAATAACTGTACACAAACATAATATAGTTTTTTTTTATTAGATCGTGTAAATATAAATGCATCGCTAAACCCGCCACCACCCAACACAGCCAAATAGTAAGGTTAGTCACGTGAACAGAACATGTCACTTCGTTACGAGTACAGCACACTGGTGTGTTGGAGAGCAAATCCACAACATTTACAATCTGTACACAAACAAAACTACATTCAATTTGGCTAATTGCTTGATTGAGCATACAACGAATGAAGTGCAAATACAATGTTTGGTTTCACTGACAAGTAAATGTGTTGCGATTTAAACGTCGTTGCTTTCATTTTATTTATTATTTTTTATTCACTTTATTATTATTTTTCTATCTACGTGACTTTACCGAAAGGACCAAAGAATATCAAAAGTGAATAACATTCTTAGCAGGGCATATCAAAGCTAAATGTTGGACAAAGAGACCAATCAAAGATATTTCAGAAGTAGTTCGGTGGCATCGGTCTCCTGGGTTCAATGCTTTGCTGACAGAGTTGCGAATGGAAGTCTGCGTCGTGGCATTATTCTGGGGGCACAATGGAAATATAACCGGAGAGAAAATGCGTAAAGTGATATTATCCCTTTTTATTTTTTACAAATTAAGATTCAATTCGATCGATGGCCATAATTCTCGCCGGGTCTCTCTGCATTAGTGACCTAGAAAACATTTCATAACTGGCATACCACATCTATGTACGTATGTTGAACTTCTTTCGCACCATACGTAGCCAACCGCGCAATGGCTGTGGCTATGAGCCGCTTGCCGAGTGTAGTCTACCAGCTGCTTGGAAGATATCAAGTGAGAAATCGAGCTCGTGGCTATCGGCACCACGTCAAGAAATACAGGAATGTATGTTCAGAACCGTAGAGCATCGCCCTGTGCAAGAGGGAAGCCGCAGAAAATGACATCCTGGAAACACTTTTGAAAATGGTCATTGCACGTCAATCACATTTCAGTACTCAGATCTGGAACGTAATCAAAGTGAAACCCCACATTCATTGTGATGGGTTTGTGTGTGTTCACCCGCAAATGAGTAGCTGGTGCGATGGTGTGAAAACATCGCCACCAGGAAGAGAAAGGCGGCCGGGCGTGGTGCACTTGCCCCTACAGTCTGATAAGGCTATGCAGGGAATCTTTGCGGTCATTGCTGAGCGAGCCGAGGCCATCGCTTTGCTACACGTGACCTGGTTAAACGGCGGGTGGCCGCCCAGATTCGATCTCGGCTGTGCCCTCTCAGTGCCCCCTCTAACCCCCTGGGCCACTCGGTTGCCCCCAGCACAAGCAATCATCATGCCTCGCGAGCACCCAGACGCGGGTTTGTGGGAGGCGCGAGGGTGCGGAGTTCGACCCACGCAGCCAACAGAGACGCTGCCAGAGTCGGGGACCGAGCCGCGCAACTCCCGAGTGTTTGTTGGCAGAAGCTCACGGGCTTCAATGGGGAAAGGCTCCTGAACTGGGGCAATTCATGCCTTCGTGATCATATTTTGCAAGCGTCGTGGAGCTACTTGTCTTGGTCCTGTGTGCGCGGTAGCGTAAGCGGTTGGCGCGCTGCGCTATGGCGTTGAGTTCCGATTCCTGCTCACGGTCAACACCGATGACGATTATTTGAACCGGTCCTGGGCCTCTCCTAGGTCGACTCAGCCTCAAATGAGTACCTGGTGTGGTGTGTGAATATCGCTACTGGGGAGACAAAGAGGGGCCGGGTGTAGTGTTGGCCACCTACCCCCTCGTGTGCCGTGTCGACCTTCATAGGTGCTCACTAACAGCACTTGCCTCAACAGTCTGTTAAGGCTATACAGGGGATCTTTGTTTCGTGTGTTTGTGTGCGCGTGGGCGAGTGTGCGTGGGTACGTGTTCACAAGTAGTGAGCACAGGTGGTGCATCTGTCATATCAGTCAACCTGTAGCACCTGGGTCTGCCTTCCACACTTCACGTAATTGCCTCAAAGTGTACGTCATCTGGCTCAAGCCAGGTGGTGAATGGTCGCTATTATTGTTCCCCTCATGACTGTGTGGTGTGTGTGTGGGGGGGGGGTGTTTGTACGTGGTGTACGTGGGGTTCGTGGTGTGTGCGATGTGTGTATGTGTGTGGTGTTTGTTGTGCGCGTGCGTGGTGTGTGTGGTGTGGCGTGCGTGGTGTGTGTGGTGTGGCGTGTGTGTTATATGTGGTGTGTGTGTGTTGTTTATGGTGTGTGGTGTGTGTGTGTGTGTATGTGTGTTGTGTGTGTATGTATCTTTGTGTGTGGTGTGTGTATGTATGTGCGGTGTGTGTGGTGTGTGTATATGTATGTGTGGTGTGTGTGTATGTCTTTGTGGTGTGTGGTAGTGTAGCGGTTAGCGTGCTGGGCTACGAACCTGGAGACCCAAGTTCAATTCACGCTCACGGCCAAGTGCCAACACCAGTGACGTTTATTTGAACCGGTCATGGGCCTCCACTAGGTCGAATCAGCCTCAAATTAGTACCTGGTTGGGAGACAAAGGCGGTCGGGCGTGGTGCTGGCCACCCACCCCCTCGTGTACCGTTCCAGCCTTCATAGGTGCTCAGTAGCAGCACTTGCCACAACAGTCTGTTCAGGCTATATGGGGGATGTCTTTGGTGTGTGTGGTCAGGAGTCGGAGCCATTCCCTGTTCACTTTGGGGTGCGGCAGGGATGTCCTCTGGCTCCCGCACTATTTAACATCTATTTCGACAACGTAGTTTGTGAAGACTTCGATGGCTGTATTGGAGGGATTTCTGGGAGGCTGATGGATGCCCGGGTGCAGTGTTTTGTATGCCAATGATCTGGTGATTGCTGCTCAATCAGAGGAGTTGGAGGCACTGCTGCTGGACCTGGAGCATGCCACTAAGAGGTGGGGCCGTACCATTAGCCCCACCAAAACTAAGCACCTGCCTGGGTATTTTGTACCATCAGACACTCCACCCCCACAACTCCCAATTGGTGATGGGGCAGTTGTGGAGAGAGTGGAGAGTTTCCCATACCTGGGCAGTGTGCTCATGACCGGCTCAGGTTTGACAGCAGAGGTCTCACTCCAACTCAGTCAAGCGGCAATATCTTTTCATGGGTTGCGTAACGCTGTGTGGAAGCTACCTGGTCTGTTGCTCCACACGAATCTCCAGGTATTCTAGACCACGGTAATGTCCTCCCGCCTCTAAGCTTGGGAAACGTGGGCCCCCGTAATGGAACATCTTCGCCGGTTGAAAACACTGAGGCTGGCCTGCCTACAATCCATCCTGGGTTTAACCATGCTGGATTGTGTGCGGAGCTCACATATCCTTAAAAGATCTGGACAAAGTGCCATCGGTGAGCTCCTCTGGCAAGCAAGGCTGCATTTGCTGGGTCATGTAGCCCGCATGCCCAGCCACCGCATGCCTAAACAACTTTTGTTCGGCCGGATAGAGGGAGCTAAATTGGCGCGGCACAGGCTAGAGAAGAGATGGAGTGATGTGGTACAAGAGGATGTGGAGCTGAGTGGACTTGCTGATGACTGGTACCAGCCATCTATATGGAGGAGGCTCGTGAAGTACGCTACTGGGCAATTGGAGGCAGTCGCCCTCCAGCAACAACAGAGGGCAAACGAGCGATGCTCACAACAATGAGCGGAGCGCCGGCGGATAAAACACAGCAAGTTGGCACAGGAGGAGGCACAGGTGGTGCATCGGCCGGTCATCTCAGTCAGTCGACCCATTGCACCTGGGTCTGCCCCGTGACCTCCTGCCAGCGGGCGTTCGACACTTCAGGTGGCCTTGACGTCCACAGAGCCTGGCACTAGCGCCGTGGTGACGTCACCGCCACTTAGTGGTGAATGGCGGTTGTTGTTGTGTGTGGTGTGTGTGTGTACAGGTGTCCCTCTGGGTGAGCGATTCGACGACGTGCAGGGGTCGCTCCTGTCCATCCCGGGCGTGCAGGCCGTGCACGACCTCCACCTGTGGTCGCTCACCTCGGGTCGCCGCGCCGCCTCGGCTCACCTCGTCACCGGTTGGCACGGGGGGCACGTGGAGTTCGGGGGAGGCGGGGGGCAGGGACACACACGAGACAATCAGAGAGGCTGTAGCGCTGTAACGACTCTGACGACGATGTTATTCGAGACACTTTATTGGGTCACTTGTCACAATAGGAGACCCTAGGCTTCGTTCTTGCCTTCAGCTTGTCACTTCCTCCGAACGTCCCCACTCCTCGTGCTGTCCCATTTTATACTCCTCGAGCCCCCTTTCTGGAAGCTTCTTGTCACCTTTTTCCCTTAGCCAATCCCTGTCCTTCCCCTCAAACGGATCTTCTCTGTTTTCCGAGTGACCTCTAAAAGTCTGCCCCCCGAACAATCACCGAGGAGGCCTCTTTCTAGCGATCGGAGACCTTTAATTTCCAAATAGCCGCTAGGCTGCCTATTGGCTTGGGGTAAAATTTCGGTCATTACAGCACAATCCTAGCGCTATTTCTAACCAAACTAAGCTCGCCAACCAGACACGAGCATTGGCATTGACCACACTCACGAGATATTGGCCCTACCCCTGACCATAACCCATCAGCCAACCAGACACAATCGCTCGCCTGAACCATAATCGCACTCGCCAAACCCCGTCTCTAATCCCAACGCACTTGCCAACTAGCCACTCGCCATAACTGTAATGTGATCGTGTGTTGTATGTAGGTATGTATGTGTCTGTGTGTAGATTTTGTGGATATATGTGTGGATATGTACATACTTGTATGTATATGTGTGTAGGTCGACTTAGCCTCAAATGAGTACCTGGTGCGGTGTGTAAACATTGACAAAGAGGAGATAAAGGCGGTCGGGCGTGGTGCTGGCCATCCACCCCCTCGTGTACTGTGCGGCCTTCATAGGTGCTCGATAAAAACAACTGCCCCAACAGTCTGTTCAGGCTATACGGGGGTCTTATTTTTGTTGTGTGGCTATGTGTGCACAGTAGGGAGCACAGGTAGTGTTATTCCAGTCATCTCAGTCGATCAATCCATGGCACCTGGACACATCCCGTGACCTTTAAGCGAGCCTTCGACACTTCACGTGGCCTCAAAGTGTACCTAGCCTGGCACAAGCGCCGTGTTGTTGTTACGTGTGCATGTAATTTGTGTGTGTGGGGAGCTCTCGTGTAGCGGTTAGCACGTCACGCTACGAGCCCAGCGACCAGAGTTCAATTCCCGTTCACGACCAATTACAGTGGCGGATAGTTAAACTAGTCCTGGTGAGTTTCCCCTAGGTCGACTGAACCTTAAATCAGTACCCGGTGTTGTGTGTAAACATCAGCGCTGGGGAGACAAAGGCGGCCGGGCGTGGTTTTTGGCCACCCACCCCCCTCGTGTGCGTGCCATGTTGGCCCTTCATACGCGCTACCCGCACTTGCTGCAGCGGTCTGTCAAAGGCTGTACCGGTGTGTGCAGGCCCGGGGGAGCCGGCCATGCAGCCGCTGCTGCAGGAGGCGACGCGCCGCCTGCGCCAGCTGCACGGCTTCCACGAGGTGACCCTGCAGCTGGAGCCCTACAACGCGGCCATGGCAACCTGCCCCGACTGCAAGGAGCCGCGCTCATAGGCAAAGCGCTGATAAGCCACCACGGCAACCCACACCACCACCACCAACGCTGGTCCGACGACACCGGGACGAACACCGACCGCCGCAGCACGAGCGCTGCCACGGGCACAAGCAACGCCACTGACACGGCCAGAGCTTCTGTAACGCGACGGGCACACCGCGCTGCCGCGCCGGCTCTGCCACCGCGCTAACGCTGCAATGGTACCAACCACTACCACCGTGGCAATAGCAAGGCAACGATTGACAGGCCACCCACCAAATCGTTCTCCATTTCATCCCAACCCGAACGCCGTAGTCACACGACCCATCCATGGTGGCCAACCTGCCACAACACTCAGCTGCTGTTAACACCCTTATTTTTTCAGTTGTGTTGCTGTGCCAACTGAGATAACGCTGCTATGAACAACCTTGAGGTCCGTGTGAGTGGCTGACCGCTGGATATCCTGTGGAGAGAATGGCTCTCACAATGTAAATGTGAAACCCCAAAAAATTGGCTCAGGACCACGCATGAAAATGAAACGTGGAGTACCTGGGGCTTTTGTACTTTTAACCTTTTTTTGCGTTAAGTGTTATCAAACTACGGTGTGTCCCCGTGTGTGTCCTTCCCCGGCACACGTTCCCTGCACGTTGGACTGCAATAAATGTGCGTGTGCATGCCCTGTCTGCCTGCGTGTCGCTACAGCCAACGGTGCAATGTCTTTGACAAATATTCAAACAACATCGATCCGTTATGTCACCGAGAGAGGTGTCGAGATAACCGATTTGTAGGTTTTTGTGGCTGTGCTGCCGCAATAGCTGCCCGACGTGTCCCCGGGATGTACCACGTGTTGTGCGGAGACCACATTCTGAAAAATATCCCAGCACGCAGAGCAAAAATGTTCGACGACATTCCCCGCAACAAAAACAAATCGGAGAGTGATGCGTCTCTCAATGCTTTATGAAGGATTTGCCATTGAGCTGTTTGGCCGATGCTTAATTAGAGATGTATTTGCTTTTTTCATACGAGAGCATAACAGAGTGTGTATGTGTTGACAACCTATGCATACAAGAAGATGATGCGATAAATCTCTAAAGATGAATATTCTTCGTATTCTTTGGTTCTTTCTATAAATATGAAGTCAGCAATCTACCTGCTATTCTGCTATATAATGGCCACCTCTGCCCAGAAGATTAGCCCATATTCCGACCAAGGTTGACTCATCCCATCATTACCATTTTCATAATCTTCACCATCATGATAATTATCATCGTAATTGTTATCATAGTCGCCATCAGCATCATCATGATATCCCCGTGGGGCTGATAAAAGGGGTACCTCATGGTGATGCTTCACCATTGCGTGATAAGTAGTACTTGATGTTTTGTTTAAGTATCTTAGATACTGGACCCTGCTATAAGAATGTGAAAATTCCACAGCTATCTTAGGAGCTAGCTTCAAGCCATACGTATTTGTTCGCAGTGCTCCCATTGTCTCTATGGTAACGACTCTGTGAGAAGTCATCCGCGCAGGAGGATCTGTGCTCACAATCAGCTTGCGAGTTCAAACCCCAGCCGGGGGGTCGACCCATTCCATCACCCCCCTCCCCCACCCTCCTCGGATGAATAAAATAAGTAACACACTGTGAGAAGTCAGGAGTGGTTTACCTATGGAGAGACTCTTCATCTTAAAAATGTGGAATTTTCACTGCTAGCGGAGGGCTGCTAATACAAACAAGCGGCCCTTTCGCCAATCCACCGCTGGATGAGGGCCTCCCTACGCCGTGCGGGTCGTGGCGGTTATCTGACCATACACCAACACGCTGGTCTATGCGGGTTAATGGTGTGCAGCATAAAACTACCGTACAACAATATATGTCGCTGCACTGGGTTCTGCTGTCCACAATGCAACCCCGCAGCCTATAATACCTGTTTTGCATGGTGGCGCCTATCCGCCGAGCACTATCCACGCTCGACCCTGCTTAGCATCGGAGATGTACGTTGAACTTATTTCGCACCGTCCGTAGCCAACCGGTGATCTGGTCGTAGATCGGTGTGAATTGTGGAACCGTTATGAATCCATTCCTACCTCATTCATGCGAGTTTGACCCCAGCGGTTGTTAACGGTGCCCGAACGCCCCTGCTGTATCGTCTCACTCTATGCAATCTCTAAAATCTCACCGGCACCTCCCGTTCCCATGCATGAAGTTGTCGAGTGATCCTGGATCACCGTTGTCTCGAGTAAATATGTTTTGTTCTAGCATTGCTTCCTTGAATCCATTCGTCTGAAAATGAAGTGTGCGTTATTGTGCGTCTGCCTGTTCCCCAGGGGAGCAGTGTGGCAGTGGTTGGCGCACTGCGCTAAGAACCCAGCGAACCGACCCTGGTTTCCGTTCAACACCAACCAACACCAGCGACTATGATCTGAAACGGTCCTGAGTGTTATGAATAGAATGCACGGTACGAGAATGCGTGAAGTCAAACAACTTCCAATCTTACGAACAGTGCAGTATGGCCCATCGTCGTGGGTAACACCCCAATGTCAGTCTCCGTCACAACATCGCAGCACGACGTTCTCTTAGTCATCACTTTTGAAATGCCTTCCTGTCAAGTTGATTCGAGACCTCTGCAATGCTTCCCTTCCTTATTCCCGAGTATCTTGCGCGACTGTGGAGCTCCTTTTGGAATTTCTGAGACGTCACAATTCAGAGTGTCCCTGCTCACACACGCGATGGGGCAATGCTCATCGTCCATCGGCAAACCTGAGCCGCCAGTGGACATTCCACGGCAGGATCAGTCCTTGCGGGTATTTGCTTGCTAGAGTATTGAGAGAATTTGGTTTGCTATTCATTTCCACGTGAAAAGCCACTTCCTTGAGCTATCAATTGTAGCCAGGTCGCTTATAAAAGAGCTGTATAGCTCAGTGGGGCTTCCATGGTAAAAGAAAAAACATTGTTTAGCTTAGGTCCACCAATGTTGTTACGTGGACGTTCGTGTATTTCCAGCTTTGAGTGAAAGACAGTGTCGGAGCGAATGTGTACCCCGTGGCCTGCCTACCGCGTTATCATGCAGACAGCGTCCGTGATCGCTGGTGCAGAGAGCACTCGACGACTAATGATGCGTGAAATTACCAAGCTACCCACACTCCCACACACACGCACGCGCGCCCAGAGTGATGTCTATCATGGAGTTGCAACATGTCACAAGCACCGTGCTGTCATACTCTTCTCAGATTGAGCTGGGTTATCTGATTAATTGATTACTCTATAACGATTATCGATCCCATTTGCTCGACTGATAAAATCACTCGAACGCTGTTGGGGGAAAAAAAAAGTCTGACTTCTGTTCCCGCGTGTGCCCCTGGACGAGAGGTGATGGATGGGGCTTAGGTGATGCATTCGGCATCATCATCTGCCACGTCGGTGCTAGGCGTGGCTTGCAAGGGGGTTTCTCGCCTTCGGGAGGTGGGGTGTGGTTTAAAGAGGCCAAAGCAAATCTTGACTTAAAGCTTTCGTGACTGCATTAATTTTCGGTAAAGTCATGTGAAATGTGTGTGTCATCATAATAGTGATTTGGGGTGGACTCTGCGCTGAGGGACTGAGCCTGAGGTATTGTGTGACGTGGAGGGTAATAATGGCGTGTCTGGTCATGATTGCAGTGACGCATATTGCTCCTCGGAATAACACTTTGAAACAAAGCGTTGCCATTTCACAAACCTCTGGTGGCCCATCTGTTGTGGGGTCGCCCGATTGTCGGGAGGACAGAACACAATGCAGAGTGTCTACTAATCATCGTCTCCAAATTGTATTATTGTCGTGAGTCCAACTGAGTCGCAGACATTAACTTAGGAGCAACACTATTTATTAACACAACAACACGAACACAACATAACCTACGCTCGGGTCTCGAATGCCCATCTAGCCACGCTACGGCAGAACTAGACACGATTCGCTATCCCGGTCCGGACCACAAGCTGCTGGGTCCCGGACCGCGTGGCTAGAGGCTTCTTCGCCCCGACGTGGATATTCGAACACCAACACTTGAAGAACCCCGAGCTCCTCACGGATCTCTCGTTATATGCTCCCGGGCTGGGGCTGGCTCCGCCCTTAGCCCCGCCCACCTTCCAGGCTCTTCGGGCCCCTTCTCGAATGTTCCCGAGAGCTCTCCGGGACCACGTGACCACCCCTCGGCCCCCGTTCACCGGTGGCCCCCCTCCAGTATCGTCCGGTCACATGACAACAGGTCAGCCAGAATATCATGCCCCAGCATAACCCTGGCTGGCTGATGCTCGCTCTCGCTCCCCGACTGGGAGCCGGCACCGCACACTGTTCGTGATGCCTTCGCACTCACCCAACCACCGCTAGTGTTGGTACTGCAGCCCGCAACCCAGGCTGCTCGCAATGACATCACCGGCCGTGACTTCGCAAGTCCCGGCACCACACAGTGACAAGTACAGTCACTACTTCATTGTTGTTGTCTGTTTAGCCGGCTTGTCACCTGGGTACGATCATGGGAGGAGAGGGCACAGGGCAGACCGGCTGCACACCAAATATACACATATGGCAAGGCATTACGTCTGCAATTAGCACACGTGCATGTGATAAAAGATGCAAACAAAGGTGCTTTGACAATATATGAAAAAGAAAGCCTCCTTAATAACAAAGCCATAGAGGAGGCTGGCTCTGGTGCAGGCAAATCAGTTTCAAAGACAATGCGTATTTAATTACCAAAGAAAGGGACCGCAATGCCGCATTAGTTGTTGCCGTCCTGAATTTCCAATGTGGGATCAGATTACAGAGACTTGGTGTGTATTGATGGGATGGGGTCATACTTTGGACAATTATTTTTAATTTTAGAAATCGCTCACAAGTGGCCTGCAAGTCAAGCAGTACTCCGTAAATTAATTCTAGATTTGTACTCCGTAAAATACAGCGAGCGGCTCCTACCATGGGACCACGTGGACAGTGAATTTGCGGGCACTGCTCCGTTTGAAATACGAGAGTAGCCCAGGAGCCAAGTGGGTCAGGTCAGTACCCACTTTGGGCGGCAATGCTACCAGGCCATAAAATAGTTTTTTTGGGTTAGATCGCGTAAACATGTGTCGTTAAACCCACCACCACCCGACACAGCCAGTTAGTAAGGTTTTGTCTTGCCTCACGACAGTTATGGAGCGTACGGTCACAGGAAGTTCCTGTTTTTTTTATGCTAATGTTTGTCACGTGACCAGGAAGTGACGATGTTAGATTTCCACTGTACCACGCGGGCGTCAGCCATTACACAGATAAGTCAAGATGGCGGCACGCATCGCATCTCAGTGAGACCACAGCCGCACTTGTCCATTGTGGGAGCTTAAGAAGCATTATCTGTAAGTTGTTTATATTCCTATAATATTGGAAATGCTGTTGTAATGTTGGAATGACCGTTATAGCAATGTAAATGCCTTTATGGTGCCGTTAAGTTGTTGTAGTAAATACGAGGCCTAGTTAGTAACGAAGCCTGTGACTTTCCTTATTGTGGATGTTACTTGTGATTTAGTAGGTCGAGTCAGACTTGTGCCTATGTTGCGATCCTGAGAGTGATAACGAAGTATCTCATCCACAGTTTAGTGTTAAGTGTAATGCTGTACATTTGGGGTGCAGTGGGATGAATACACTGTGCCTGTATGCAACGCACCAGCTTGTGCCTTTGTCTAGTTGTTCAGGGGTAATGTGGGGGCCTGGTCCTTCCAGGATCTATTGTTATCTGAGACAATGTTCTGATGCTGTGGTGTTCATTGTGTAGGTGTTTCCGAATTATAACAGATGCTGTATCTGTGTTTTCTCACCAGTTTTACCTGTTACAATCAATAAATGACGATCGGAGTTGGACGGTCATCCTGGCTCCGAGGGTTTATTGAACACATGGTTGTCTACTCGACTAGCGGTGCAACGCAGCGCACAGCGAGGCCGAGATAGTAAAAGGATATTTTTCCTGAAGCTCCCAACCAGTGCTGCAGCCAGCTCTCTGCAGCCAAGTAAAAAGATAGTCTTCTTGAAGCTTCCAACCAGCCCTGCAGCCAGCTCTCAAGCAGTCAGCCTGCAGCAAGAAAAGAGCTCTCAAGCAGTCAGCCTGCAGCAAGCAACCAGCTCTCAAGCAGTCAGCCTGCAGCAAGCAACCAGCTCTCAAGCAGTCAGCCTGCAGCAAGCAACCAGCTCTCAAGCAGTCAGCCTGCAGCAAGCAACCAGCTCTCAAGCAGTCAGCCTGCAGCAAGCAAGGAACTCTGCAACGAGTCTACATTAAAATCGTGTTGCAAGCATTGCAGCATGGACAGCCACAGTTCAGCAGGGAGAGATGCTGAAGAAGATGATTTAAGCAATCCAGGACCTCCCATCCTGCCTCAAGAGGACCAAGGGAGTTCAAGGCCCCAGAGGGAGGTCAGGTTGACGCAACGGGCCTTGGAAAGCTATGAGGCTGAGAAACAGGACCTGGATGCCAGGATACAACGGGCATGGAACCGGGTTGAAGCAGATTTATCTGAAGCTTCAAATGCCTCAGACACAGTGGAATCAATTCAGCGGGCCATCCAGCGAGTGAATGTGAGCAGCTCAAGCTACAAGCTCCTGGCAAATAGATACATCTCCCTCCTGATGAAGGTGAAAACAGATGAGGGCATTGAGGGAGTGCGCAGACAAGAGCACTTCCTTGAACTGCTCGATGATAATGTGCAGGCAGTGATACAAGATGCAATGGACCGTGTGGAGGGCTTAAGAGAGACACGATCTCAGCACTCTGTCTCATCCAGGTCCACCACAAGCTCTAAAGCCTCAGCACACTCACATATATCATCTACTGGTATGGCAGCAGCTCAGGCACGCGCCGCAGCAAAAGCAGCAAACGCCCGTATTGCCTACATGGCTGAAGAGGAAGCCATGCTAATTGAAAGGGCTCGTATACAAGAAGAAGCAACCAATGCAACTGCTGCCGCACGGAGGAAAGCAGAGCAGGAGGAAACAAGCATAGCAACTGCTGCCGCACGGAAGAAAGCAGAGCTTGAAGAGCAAGAGAGTATATTAGTGGCTACCGCCACGCGGAAGAAAGCAGAGCTTGAAGAGCAAGAAAGTATATTAGTGGCTACTGCCACACGGAAGAAAATTGAGCTGGATGCTAAGTTAAGCATCCTACAACTCAAAAAGGAAGCAGCTGCTGCAATGCAGCAGCCAACCTGGATAAGGAAGAGAATTGGAGCGAGTTTG